AAAAAAAAAAAAATCAGAATCCCTGGGGATCTGGGCACTGGTGATTTTTCAAAGCTCATGAGTGTTCAAGGTGTGGGGAAGCATGGGTACAATTCAACCCCTTCGTGCTACAGAGGAGGAGACCGCAGTCAGGAGGGGCCAGACCTCCAAAGAGGAGTTCACACGCAGCTGAGCCAGAAGCAGAAGCTGCTTTGTAAGATGCACACCATCCCGGGGGGGTCTCTAGGGACCACGAACCCCCTGGAAGGGTGAACAAGCCTTATGAAGCTGGTACCAACCTGCCTCTCTTCCGAATCCTCTCCAGTCAGCTTCCAACATGCTCCTTCACGCCTGCTACAGACCCATCACCATTCTCTGAGCGTGCCGTGAACTGTCCCACCGGTACGCCCCACTCCCGCGGCTGCACCCCTCTGTAAGGCCATTCCCTCTGCCCTGTCCGATGAAGACTGGTGTGTCTTCAGAGCGAAGTGAGTGAAGTCGCTCAGTCCTGTCCGACTCTTGGCGACCCCGTGGACTGTAGCCCACCAGGCTCCTCAGTCCATGGGATTTTCCAGGCAAGAGTACTGGAGTGGAGTGCCATTGCCTTCTCCAGGGGATCTTCCCAACCCAGGGATCGAACCCGGGTCTCTCGCACTGCAGGCAGATTCTTTACCACTGAGCCACCAGGGAAGTCCAAGCCTGGCTCAAATGCCGCCTCCTCTAGAAAGCTTCCCATTGTGCCCTGCCCCTTAAAGTGTTAACTGCTCACTCCTGATCCTCCCACAAACTTCCAAGACGCTTCCGGTTTCATCACACAGCACTGGTCATGTTCTGTTACCTACATGCCTCTCTTCGCCACGTCTCTTCCCTCTGTTTATCTGATAAACATCTGTAGACGAAATAAACCTTGGCAAGCCTTGCTCAGAAAACTACTTAGGTTGGAGCTGAAAGAGTTTCCTACCTTCCCTTGGACAACTTTTTTCAATCTAAAACTTAATCAAAGACCCCGACTTCCAAATGTCACCAAGCTGTACTATCCTATAGCAGAGTTCTTGGGGAAGGGGAAGGAAGGGACTCCCGCTTAGCCTGGCTCCAGCCAGTATAGAAAGACTGCTCCAAATATCATGTTCCATGAGAAAAAACAAATCTGCAATTGTTTATTGGACATCTACCGTGCATTCCATGAAACTTGGCCCCTGCCTTCAGGAATTCTGCAACTACCCTGAGCTCAGCTTCAGTCACCATGAAACAGAACCTCAAGAAAGCATTTTTCTACCCAGAAAAGATAATGGGATAGAAGTTCTTCCTCCCACTTTCTCTCCAGGTCAGAAGGAGCCAGCACAACCATTAAGGCGCTATGGGGTCTTGGCAAATTGCTTAGCCCTTCTGAGCCTGTTAACTTTATCTGAAGGATGGAGTTATAGATACCTTCCTTCTAGGATTGTTGTGAAGATTCCATGAGATACGTGTGGAAAGTCACTGACATTCAATAAACAGTAACTTTCTTCCTCCTTCCCTTCTCTCCCTCTCTCCATCCTTCTTCTTGGAGCCCACCTTATGGAGAAGTAAATATACTTTAACACATAGAAGACTGCACCAATAAAGGTCCGATTTTTAAAATTGTTATTACAATAAAATATTGACTGGTCAAAATAGTGAATTTTCTGGTCCCCAGGGGCCCCTAGGAAGGTCTGCAGGCCACTGGCGCATGCATGGAGGCCTCCTGGACTTAGAAGTTCCTGGTCGGCCCCTGGACTGAGCATCTGTCTTCTCAGAACATAGTAATCACAGAGCAAGTGCAAACGCTAAAGAAAGAAGCAGGCAGGGCAGGGCTGAACCACATGAGGGATGCCAGGAAGACTTCGGGGAACCCACGAGAGGACCGGGAGGTGGGTGAGGCAAGACAGGCTGTCCCACCCCTCGCTGGCATTTTTGGGGCAATTATGCCCTATCAATGGCTGACAGCAGCGCTCTGCCCTGCTGTCTGGGCTGAGCGGGGCGGCCCGCACATGTGCTCGGCCCGCAAATATGCAGTTGGCAACTTTTGAACTTTCGGTGACTTGACATCAGCTGATATGATCAGCAATTACACTTTATTTTGGGGCCAGGAAGACAGCGGAGAACCAGGAAAATTATAAGACATCAGAGTACAGTTTTTCTAAGAATATCACCTACAAACTTTTTTTCCACCCACTGTTGTTTTAATGGTTAGGGGTGTGTGAGGCACTAAAATAAGAAAACCTTGGACACTAAAAGCAGATTATAGCCAATTTTCCTAAGGGAGCTTTTAAGATTTTTGTCCAGTGAAAATCTGGATGTGATTTTTTTTTTTTTTCTTTTTTGGATGGGATAATTCCTGCCAAGAGAACTTTGCTGGTGACAGTGAATACAGCACGGAGACAAATGGATTTGTAGCTTGTCCTGGATTTGAATTTCTACTCTGCGTCTAACAAGCTGTGTGACAACTTCCTTGGCCTCAGTGGTCCTGTATGTAAAATGGGGGTGTACTACCTACTTTAGGGCTTGACACAAACATTCCATGAGAAGTTTATGAACATCCTTGGGTCAGGAAGATCCCCTAGAGGAGGACACAGCAACCCACTCCAGTACTTCTGCCTGGAGAATCCCACCGAGAGAGGAGCCTGGTGGGCTACAGTCCACAGGTCGCAGAGAGTCAGACAGGACTGAGGCGACTTCGCGTGCATGCACACAGAAGGCATTTGGCCTATAGTCCCAGTACCTGGTAACTAAGATGGCTCTACTTGCCATAATGTTGGTTTCCTTATTGTCTAAAACACAGAGTTCCTGCTTTCACCATCATATATCAAAACCAAATAACCAGTCAGCATAAAAAGGGGAAATGGCATCTCCGGGAGCAGTTTGGTTTCTAGCAATTACAGTGTTTGTCATCTGCCCCGTGATAACATCGGTCCAGACTTAGCAGCTTCCAGAGCTCGGCTGGTAGGGGAACACAAGAAACCACAGCCAAGCCCCACGGGATGCGGCATCTGTGAATGTCTTGTGGATGCAAAACCAGACTTGGCTCCACAGGAGTTCCTGCCCCCTTCTCTCCTCTGAACTCTCCTGCCCACGGCCATCCCAAAGATCACGAAGACAGTTTCTCAGAGAAGCGCCACCGACGGAACGTGCGTGGGAAGAGAACATAATTGCAGCTTGTAAAGGAAACCAGCCTAAGAAAAAAACATTCCGGGACAACATCCCGAGGAAACGCGGAGATCTTCCTGCAGGGACATTTTCCTGGTTACCAGCAAAAGGGGACAGACAGCTTGCCCACAACATTCTTGATGGAGGCTGGTGACTCACCCACCGACTCCTTCACAAACAGCTCCCAGAGACACCGCCCCAGCCCCATCTTCCCGCCCCCCT